GTTAACATGTTGAGTCCAAGACAACCCCGGGTCCAAGTGAACTCCAAGAAATTTGACGCTTACCGGATTATCAACGTCAGTGATATTTCTTAGACTAAAAATCATTGATTCAGATTTGGAGACATTTACTGTAAGTTTATTACTAGCAAACCAGTCGTTCGCTAAGGATTGAATTTGAGGTATGGAATCAAGCAACACAGTCAAATCAGAGTCTGAGGTAGACATACTGGTGTCATCAGCAAAGAGTATGCTCACAATTTCGCTGTCAAATATACTGGGAAAATCATTAATGTAAATAAGAAAAAGTAGGGGACCCAAAACTGATCCTTGTGGCACTCCATGTTTTATTTCAGACATAGTAGATTTGACTGAATTGTGAGTAACATACTGAAATCTGCTAGTTAAATAGGAAGACAGTAGACCTACACTCTGAGCTGAAAAACCATAGTAATGCAACTTTTTCAATAAAATCTCATGAGAAACACAGTCAAAAGCTTTACTTAGATCAACGAATTGAGAAATTACATATGACTTTTCCTCGAATCCCCTATTTATAAACGATGTTAAACAATCAATAGCTGATACTGTTGATAAACCATTTCGAAAACCATATTGATTCTGAGTGAATAGTTGGAACGTTTCCATATAACTAGTTATTTGAATTTTAAGAACATTTTCATATACTTTGGCAATTTGAGGTATAATGGATATAGGTCTAAAGTTGGATGGATCAGTAGCATCACCTTTTTTGTAAATTGGTACGACTTTTGAGATCTTCAAACAATTGGGAAACATATCACTTTCAATACAAATATTAATCAAATGTGTCAACGGTAACAATATTGAATTCATTAAAGATTTTAACATAATTGTATTAAATTCATAAACATCCACACTTTTTTTATTCTTAAGTCCAATGATAATATTAGCAACTTCCCATGGTGAAACAACCGTAAATGTGAAATTATTTAAGGGAGCCTTACGTTGCAGATAATTACCAAAATGCGGAACATTAGTTGATAATTTACTCAACAGTTCATCAGCTACATTAACAAAGAAGCCATTAAATTCCTCCGAGGTGATGACAGAAGTATTTTGAGGTTTGGTTACTTTAAAAGAGTTAATTACATCCCACATTGCTTTTTGCGAATTATTATGACTACTTATAAAATCATCATTAGACTGTTTTTTGGCTTTGAAAATTTCTTTCCTATACAGAGACTTAAATTTTTTGTATAAATCTTTGTTGTTAGAAGTGG